GGAAGACAGAAGGCTGCAATCTAACCACCAGTCAAAGTATATGCATAAATAAGTTTAGTCGGATATTAGATCCATTGAATTGAATGGGAGCAACTCCCTGTTCAAAGGGTTTCTTCAGACTGCAGGAAGCGTGCAAAGAAGGCTCAGCTGGAGCAACATCACAGTGAGGTAAAGGCCCTGCAGGAATCTCACCGTGGGGTTGTGGGGCTCAAGCAGGCCAAAAGAAAGGCTTAGGGACGTGTGAGTGTGCTTGGCTCTCCATCTGTTTTTAAGGTAGCTGCAGTCGGTGCCTTACCTCTGCTTTTGGAAACAGCGCAGTCTGCCAAACCTGCTTGGCAAGGCAAAAGCGGGATGAGCGTCTCCATCACAAGCCGTCCCTCTTCCCTTGGCCTTCTGCGTTCCGAGAACAGACTAATCTGTTCCCAGCACTGAGCAGCGTCAGTCCTCTGGGCACTAGTCCAGCAGCATAACAGGAGCGTTCCTGGGGTGGCTGTCTCATTGGGAAACCCAGGGCGCTTGGCTTTGGGCAGAAACAGCCACGGCAGCACCAGAGCGAGCCCGAGCATCCAGCCCTCTCCACCCCTGCACATGCTGCATAGGATGCGGTTCTGGCTTCCTAAGAGGCCCCCCCCCCCGCCCCCTGGGAGCAACTGCAGAGATTTTGCTAGCCTTTTGGTCAAGCTCCATCTATGTTGGGTGACTGTTCCTATCATCCCCAAGGAGCAGCATGGTGGCTGGGGGTGATGGGTGTTGTGGTGGAGGGCATGTTGAGGGTAGTGGGTTTGGGGAAGAAAGCTTGCGAACCTCTGACTCCGTTCCTTCCTGACTATTGGCCCTGGGGCTGATGGGCCTTGGAGGCTAACTAGAAACGGAAGGCCACAGGTCAACTCCCAGCCCCTACTTTACGTGAAAGGAATCTCCCAGCTCTGCGCAGAAGAGAGCACACTGCGGCTCACCAAGGGTTCCTCTTTGCACGCCAGGAAGAACCTGCTGTTACTGAAAGCAACTGGGAGATGTGGAAAGGATTTGTCAGAAGAGGGGAGTCAGTTCTGCCATTTGTCCACCAAGTGTGCCTGGGGATTTGTGAAAAGCTCTACATCCACGTTTCCAATTGAACGTACAGTACCAGTGCTGCCGCATTATTGTGAGCCAGGCTGTGGAGCAGGCTAACACGGTCCTTTGCTTCTCCGAGGAAGCACAACTAGTCTTGCTCAGCCCTGCTCTCCGGTCCTTTCACCGAAAGGGCCCCAGAGTAGGACTTGGTGCGCGCGATGCATGCAAGCTAATGCATTCTACCACTGGGCTCGGTTCTGCACAGAATCCCAGCTCTCAGCCTAGGCTTCCCCTTCTAGGGAGCTTGATGCCCAGATTTCAAGACCAAATCCTGAAAAAATATTCAACAACAAAATTCTGAAAAAATATTAAAATCTCTCCACACAGAATTACAAAATTTGCTTTCCAAACAAACTTGTTGCAGAGTTTTGAGTCCTCCTTTCTCTTGGGGAAGTGAGAGAAAGCAACACTACTGAGGCTGTAGTCTTATGCCTACTTTTCTGGGAGTAAGGCTCACTCAACTTAATGGGGCTACCTTTTGAGTAGACATGTAAAAGATTCCAGTAGAGAATGACTTGAGAGGCACTCTCATATTCTAAGATTAAAAGGATGCAATGCAGTCCTCATGGGGCCCTAACAGCTCAGACTGTGGGGAGTGGGGTAGAGGAATCAGGTATCTGAATGCCCCCATGTAATAAAATCTGGCATGTAGAAAGGTAGCATATGAGGGAAAAGAATTTTAACTCGAAGTGCTTGCTTTTCCCATGCGTTCTTTTAATGCAAGAGCATTTCAACAACCTGACTCACATTTGCTGTTTTCCCGTTTGAGCTGATACAGACTGAATGCTTATTCTGAACACATTTCCCAGTGAAATGCTCAACTGTTGCATTTCAAGCATCGCCGCATTTCAAAACCAGGTTTCAGCCCCAGTGCTTAGTGCCCACCTTGTCCCTTTGCTGATAAACAAAGCTGAGTCAACAGAAGGGAACTGTCAAATCACATTGTATTTATATGTCAGTCCTTTGTCAGAGTTTCCTAAAAGAGCTATTTTATTTTGACTGTAAATAGGGGTCAGATAGTTACATTTTTAAAAGCCACAATTTTCTCTCTAACCTCGTTAAGTACCTTCCTTCATGTGTGCATTTGTGTGTATGTGCACAAGACAGGGAGCTGGTGGTGGTTACACTTGTGTATGGGTGTGTCAGGCACTTAACAAATCTACAGTGATCTCTACAAAGAGTCCAGCCAAACGGAGACAGACCAGCCTACCTATCAAGTTGGCAACATTAATCTAAGAAAATGCTGGGCTTTTGTGCATCTTTAGTCCCACAATACAGCAAATGTTTAATGACTTTAACCCATCTGACTTTGTATTCTGAAAGAAATAAACAGTCTTTTACAAATCCACAGGGTGTCATGGCCCCTTTAATTAACAACTTCTGAATAAGAGTCTTGCTCCATGATACAAGGGAGCGCTAAGGTAAAGCCAGCCATAAAAGTAGAAGCCTCAGAGCAAAATTATTGCTACTCCTGTTTTCTGCACACTGCTGTTTGTGTGAAGCCTTATTAGGAATTATACTGGTGACACCAATCAAAGTCCTCCAGGGGACAAGACACACTTACTCCTTGTCCTGTTGAGGATGGACAAGCTCCCCAAAGACCAACCTTTGAGAAGACGCAAAGAATACTTTGGAGCAACCGTGACGGGAAGTGTCCTCACTGAAGCACGACTTCAGATCATCGCCGGTGCTGCGCAGCCAATGAAAAGGAGGGGGCCATGATCCCGAGGACAACGGCCCTGGCACTCACCACGCTCACCCCCGGTGTGCCTTTCAGTTAGTGGTGTCAATCCATGACAGTGTCATTTTATGTCAGGAAACCAGCTTTGTTGTGACTGAAACTGCTTTGATAGTAGTGGTGAATTGGAAGCATTCTGGTGCCGGATCTCATAGAAAGAAAGTCTGAAGGACATCAGTGGGTGACTTTGGGCTAGTTGCTGACCCAGAGAAAAATCTAACTCATGCACTTGTTGTGATGACAAAAGAGAGAGGAGGAGGATTATTGGACTGTTTGAAAGAAAGGACACAACACCAATAAAATAAATGGGATTTCCTGAGTCCGATCCAGCATGTGAAGCAAGTCGCCATTCTTGCATTTCAGATTGTTTTTCAGAAAGATGAGGCTATAGATGCTAACATGGATAAATGCACTGCGTCCCTTGTCTTTAGTCCTTAAACATCTCAACGTTGTCCAAAATGTTATTGTGTGTGAATGAAAAAGTTGAACCTGTGAAAAATATCAGCTTATGTACATTCTAACACAGATTGCAATTGGGTTTTCCTGTAATAAAGGAAACCAGAGTCTGGCTTTGGATGGTGTTTGTTGAAGCACTATGATAAAAACTTTGAAAATTCATGTAAGCAATAATACTCCCTAATCAAAGAAGGCAATCCTATGCATGTTTAGATAGTAAAAAAAAAAAGCCAGCAGCAGTACAAATTGTAGGACCTTTATTCTGCAGCCTGACAATTTAGAAAATCCATTTTAAGTTTCCATGATCAAATGGGGAATACTGGAAGATGCAGGAATTTTCTTTTGTCACCTGCTGAAGAAATTTCAGCTCACACCAGGACTGTGAGGAAAACTGAAGATCTTTTTATTAAAAACAAGATATAAAACAGATAAAACTGTGCACACGAGAAAGCAAGTTTCAACCAAAGTTTCCACCCAGCTCTGTCAGTGCACCCATAAGTTAAACATATAGAAGACAAATAGGGAGGTTACACCGCACAGTACATAGCAAGTTCTATGAAAAATTTCACCACTTAGACACAGTGTACATCCTAAAATTCAAGCTCACGCAACCTGCATGCGTTTCACTAGCAACTACATTTCATTCCTCATTCTGCCATGTACACATTCTTGCCTTGGGAAATTTTACTCAAAAAGGCTTTTGTTTGTTGTTGTTTAGTTGCAAAAGTCATGCCCAACTCTTCTTGACCCCACGGACAACATTTCTCCAAGTTCTCCTGTCCTCCATCATTCCCCAGAGTCCATCCCCCGGAGTCCACCCCCGCCTCCCCAGTGACCCCATCCAGCCACCTCAACCTCTGCCGTCCCCTTCTCCTTTTGCCCTCAATCGTTCCCAGCATCAGGCTCTTCTCCAGGGAGTCCCTCCTTCTCATTAGGTTGTGTAAAGTATTTGTGCTTCATCTTTAGTATCTGTCCTTCTAAAGAACCCTCAGGGTTGATTTCCTTTAGGATTGACTGATTCGATCTCTTGCAGTCCAAAGCACTCTCAGAAGGGTTCGCCCCACGATTCAAAAGCGCCAATCCTTCGGTGCTCAGCCTTCCTTATGGTCCAGGTTCACAGCCATGCATTGCAACTGGGAAAACCATAGCCTTGACATACGCACTTTTGTCGGCAGGGTGATGTCTCTGCTTTTTAGCATGCTGTCTAGATTTGCCATCGCTTTCCTCCCCAGGAGCAAGCGTCTTTTAATTTCTTGGCTGCAGGTTTGCCTCAAAAAGACCTAGTTTGTCTGTATATCTTTGATCGCCACACATGCCCAGGGCTGCCCTTTGAGCCAGTTACTGACCCTCAGCCTCCTCAAACTTTCGGGATAGTGATGAGAAAAAGGATAGGACGGTTATTGGATTCTTTGCAGGAAAACGACCATAGAAATAAAATAAAATGGAGAAGCCCGGTCCACAATGGTTTGGTGGCCAGGAACGATGGGAGCTGCAGGCCAGCAAATAAAGTAAATAAATGACTTGGGATCCTAGGCAGAATATGCGGACTCCGGGCGGGAAGGGCACGAGCCGAACCGCCACCGCTCGCCTCATCCCGTCCCTTAAACTACACCTCCCAGCAGGCCCCGCGCCTCGCAACAGCGACTCCCAGCATGCCGCGCGGAGGCGCGTGGGTGGGGCCTGGTGGGAAGGAGCCCGCGTTTGAGCCGCCGGGCGCGATGTCGCTGGCGCAGCAGCTGCGGCGCTGGGCGGCCGAGGAGATGAAGCTGCCGCCCGACAAGATCCCATCCGAGAGCGCCGCCCGGCGGTGGGTGCGGCTCCCCGGGCGCGGGCGGTTGGCGACCAGACTGCCGGCCGGGGCTGAAGGGCCCGGCGCTTGCGCCTGCCTGGCCGCCGAGCTCCGCGGGGTACTCGGCCAGTCGCGCCTCCGGGCGGCCAGCTGCGCAGGGCTGTTGCGAGGTCAAGCTGCGAGTGGGGGAAGAGGCAGTGTGGCGTGGTGGTTAGAGGCGGGGATCCACGGCGCAGGCCTTGCTCGGCTCGCTGGGAGACCCGGAGAGCCGTGGCCTCTCAACCCAGCCTACCTCACAGGGCTGTTGGTGTGGGATAGCACGGGAAGGAGGACTGCGCAGTCTTGGGTTCCTTGGAAGAGGGAAGAAAGGCAGGGTGTGAATGTAATAATAAGAATTACAGCCCTTGCAGTCTTGCAGATTAGCCTCTAGCCATGTGTGGTGTAGGAATAACAAGAGTACTTTGGCTGTCTGCAGAGTGCTTTCAGCACCGGTCCCGCAGCGTTGTTTGGCACAGTTCCCTTACCAAGTCACTACCCGAGGAATTGGATGCTCTTTTCCTTCCCTAGCTATCGACAATCACCATGCTTTGCATGCAGCTGGTCTCAAGTTCAGTTCCTGACTTTTCTGGTCCAGAGGATTCGGTAGCAGGGGATAGGAAAATTAGCAATGATGTACTGCCTTATTTGCTAAGCAACTTTCAAGGTGGTGTACTAAGCAGGAATAAAACACATTTCTGTAGCTGTGTCATAGCTACAGTTGGAGCTCTCCACAAGGGCTAATATGTAGTAATGAAGTGACTTCTTTTACTTCATGTAGCAGCAAGATGTATTGTTGGCTTACATTTTGGAAATCTAAGCAAATAGTTAGGATAAGAAATGTTGCATATATGCTATGGGGTTTGGCAGAGCTAAATGAAATTATCCACTATGTCTGGATTAAAGTGGGATGTGCAGATTCAGAAGGTGATTGTGATGCTGTAAGGAAGACAGAAATGCTAAACAAGGCAATATGAGAAAAAAAAACCCTGTCCATTATTATGGTTAATGGAACTCTAGAAAAATTGGCTTCATTTTATATAGAACTGCACCATATGTGAGTGTCTAGTTAATCTCCATTTTGACTGGGCAATTCTAAGAACATACAAGGGCAATTCTAAGAACATACAAGGGTCCATCTAGTCCATTGACTGACCAGCACCTTCAAGAAATCCACAAGCAGGCATGAGTGTAACAGCAGTCTCTGCCCAAGTTTGTACGTGGTCATACTGCCTTTGAAACTGGATGTAGCATGTACCTTTCAGGACCAATTGCCAATGAGTACCTTCTCCATGAAGGTAGACCGTCCCCACTGAAAATCAAACAAACAGGTGGCCCTCACAGCTTGTGGAAGTGAATCCTGTGGTTTAACTATGCATTATATGAAGGACTTCCTTTGATCTGTTCTGAATTTCCCTCAATCAGCATTATGGGACGATCCCTTTGGGTTCCAGGATCAGGAGAGAGGGAGCAAAATGTCACTAGTGTTGACCCATTAGTCCATTTTTTTCAGTCTCCAAATGCCTCAAGCTCTGAGCAGCACCTCATTCTTCTAAGCCTGATGGATTTTTGCTTTCCTCCCCTCCAGGATGTGCTCAGGTCAGTGTGCTGAGATCTGGAAATATGTCATCCGACATGTTCACCATCAGAGGTGAGAAGAAGGGTGCTGGTTGAGGAAAATGCTGAGAGGCTGCTAGATTTGGCTTGTATTTGCAGGATACTGGCTGAGGTTTAGCCCGGTGACTTGACAGGGTGAGGATTTTAACTCACCTACCGATTTGCTGAGATGTCTCATTCCAGATTCTTTGCGGGATTAAGAAGTGGGCCTTTTACATGTGCTCTCCCGACTTCCAAGTATGTTCCATCGCACAATCACAAGGTGGTACTGTGGTATGGTGCACTTGTGGAAGTGCGTGTCTTTGGTTTAGAAACAAGCAGAGCGAGTCAGAAGGAGCCTCCCGGGCCATCTAGTCTGACCCCCGGCTCCAGCCGGTTCTGCTCAAGACATGCCTACCATGTGCATGTCCAGCCTATCCTTAAACACCCTCACAGATGAGGCTTCAGCCACCTCCCGTGGCAGCCCATTCCACACCCTCGGGGTCCTTTACTGTGATGACTGTATAAAAGCTCACTTTCCTCACTCTAAAAAGGAGCAGAAAAAAAACACAGATGCTTGAAAGGTGCAGGGAAATGGCGCCACTGTGCAGAGCACCAGGAGGCACAACGGAGGTCTTGGATAGAGAAGCCTGTTCCGCTTTCACCAGTTCTTGTGCCTGATGACTTTTGCTAAGCCCTGTCTTTAAGAGGAGGTGAGACAGAGAAGTAAAGTAGCAGTTCGTAGCCCGGCAAGGAGAGAAAGTATGGAGAAGGCTTAGGAACTTTTCAGGTTCGGTTGTCTAGCACAGATTCCTGTCTGTCTCTAGAGCACCCGGCCTGATGCTTTCAGGAAGTCCATCAGCAGGATTTGAACAGCCTTCTGCTCTTGCTAAATGCTGCCTCTGAACCTAGAGGTTCTATTTAGTGTACAGCGACGGTCAGCCTGCAGACCTCAATGTAATTTTATGCAGTCCTTGGCTTAATTTCAAAGGCCTCCTGCATGCATTCAGTTCAGACTTCTGGCAAGGGCCATCTGTCCTTTCTCTGACAGACTATTGGGAAGAAAGGAAGGAGGAGGTAATTTAAGAAGCTCAACCAGCTCTCACCCTGCCCACTGTGGGCTACAGCCCCACCCACTGCAGGCATTACCACCAAGAGACTGAGGCCCTTGGCAGAAAAAAGGTTGCCCATCCCTGACTTGGTTGTTATGGTTAATAGCCATTGGTGATCTTTTGTCCCCCATGCCTACTCTTTCCCTTTTTAGAAGCATTCCCCATTTAAGTTCATCACCCACAGTGAGAAGTCTTGTTTTGTTCTGACAGTTCGTGTGGTTGTCAATTTCACTGGTTCAGCTCCGTCCTGGTGCTGTCAGTGTCAGAGAAAAAGGTTCTCTGTTCCTTCACCCTGCCCACATAAAAATGTTTATGAGGTCCCTGCCAAACACAGGTTTTCTTTTAAAATGAAACTGTAGCCTTGCCTCCAAGAAGATACTTTCTTCCCCTGACAACATAGCCTTGCTTTGAAGAAAGATGCTTCAGTAACTTGGCTGCGTGGTGGCTCTGCAGCTCTCAGGATCAAAGTTCATTGCAAGCTTAAACACTTGATTTGTAACATTGCTTCTACTGCTAGTCTTTGTTTTTTGGAGCTTATGTCAACACAGTGTTGATTTCATATTTTTCCTGCTTCTGTTGTAGGAATGTAAAGAAAATTCGTGGAAATCTACTATGGTATCCTTGTCAGAGGGAGATATTTTCCTCAGAGTTCCAGATCTCTTGCTCTAAAGTCACCCTCCTTCCCCACCCCATGGAACAATAGTGAAGCTTCTTCCATCCTTGTTTATTTTCATAAGAAACTGACTGCCCAAACTTATTCATAAAATAAACTCAAAGCATCTCATAGAAATTCATAAAATATATCAAACAGAATTATTTTAAAGTTCAGATTGTTTTATCCCAAAATCAGTTTTATACAAGTCAGTATCATAATAGGGAAGCAGAACAGAAGTCATGGTAAAAGTTTGGCAATTTTATTTTAAGATTTTTAGCTTAATCACCAGAAGAAATTGACCAAATCTCACTCTGGAGGAGTGTCACAGCCTGTGTATTACTGCAGGAAAGGCCACGTCTTGTGACCTGACTATGCGTGTTTCTGTAGGTGATGGGATGCAGAAGCTGATGTTCAGTGTAGTGGGAGGAAGTTAGTCTTCATATAGCCTAATCCCGAAAGGTTACATCTGCATCCAAGAAAAAGCTGCACCGCTTGAATACTGGCAGCTGTTTATTTTTGCAGTTTGTCCTTCCTCCAGGGAGCTTGTTGTTTCTGTACAGGATAATCCCCCGCTGTATGCACACACCCACTTTGATCCCTTACAGCTCTGTAAAGTAGGCAAGGCTGACTGGTCCGAAGCCTTGTCCCTTGCCCAGGCAACCTCACTTGGTGCCTATCGATATAATCCAAGGGTTTCTCCACAGACTTTTTAAAGTCCTCCGTGGCAAACTGTGGGTTTGGGCTCCCATCAGCCCCAACTAACATGATGGGAACTATAATCCAGTGGACCAATTCAGGGCAGGCTGTCGTACTTATCAAATTATGAAAAAGTTAAAACTGCTTCCTTAATGCAAGCTTTTCCTGTGTAGGTATCGACAAATGGAGGAGGCTGAGGTGAGACAGAAGGAATTCAAAGTGCCTTCATGGAACTGGGATAGTGATGAAGGGAACGTGTGCCCTGCCCAGGGCTCTTTGCCTCCGACTCCTCTCGTCCCCGACCATGTTGGGTGGGCTCGATGGGCGTCCAAGGACATCTAGAGGGTCACAGGGTCCCCCCCACTCAGCCGGGTGGGGGTGCAGAACCTTCTCAGGCTGAGGGCCACCTTCCATTATAGAGAAGCTCTCAGGGCCTACATTCCTGTGGTGGGCAGGGCCCAAGGCACCAAAAATGCATCCTGTTTTGTTTGAGAGCTCTGACTGCCAGTGACTGAGCTGCAGGAGAGGCATTTCGACCTTTTGGAACGGGAAAACAGTGCACAAAGGCTGAGAAACCACCAAGTGGTTGAGGGAAAGGGGATGGGCTGTCTAGCACATTCCAGGCAGGCGGCACCCACCACTTGCCCATAGGGGAGGGGAGGTTTGTTTTTGCTTCCTGTTGGGAAGAGGAAGGATCCTCTGGAGATCTTCAAAGGGTCAGAGTTCTACACTGCTGGGTTAGCACAAGGACTTCCAATCTGGCATGGTCCTGCCTTCTGGAGGCTTTAGAGAGCACACACAGAATATTGAGTGAGGTGGCCCATTGCTCTGACTCTTTAAGTGTCTGCAAGGTAGAAAAATTCTCCCTTCGGGATGTTGGGCTGAGAGAGGATATTTCCTTGGCCTTGGAGCACTTAAACGGGCAGGGCTTCAGGGGCAGGAGGGGTTACCTTACATCCAAGCCCTGTGATCCAGCTCTGCCACATTCGGTGCTGTGTCTCCCTGTTCCCACACTTCTGCAGGGCAAGCTCACTGGGTCAGAGTCACAGAAGGAGCGCCGCAAGCAGCTTGTTAGTGACATCGCCCGCCTGCAGGGAGAACTGAAGCAGATTGACCTGCAGATTGAGTCGGCGGAGCGGGAGCTTGTGGCTGACGGTGAGTGGGAAGAGAAGTTAGGACGCCCAGCACCTGCAGCTCGTACAATCGGCTCCTCAGCAGGTCTTCGGTCAACCTGCAAGATGTTTTGTTTGTGTTTTGGAAGCATGAGTCTGTTTTCATGCTTTAAAATTGCAAAGCAACTGGGCTGACTTGGCAGGAAGGTCCTGTGTAAGCACATGAATAGTAAATGCATTTAAAGGAATAAGAGGCCCACCTGCTCCAGTCTGGAGGGGGAGGAGCCCTGTGGGGCAGTGCAAAGCATCCCTGAGGCTGATTTTCGATTCCAGAAAGAGGAATTCCTTACTGCTGCCTCCTTGTGTAATAAGGGGAGGCAAAGCCTTGCAGAATCAGCAAGAGGGCAACAAGTGTGGAGCCTCCAGAAGCAGCTAGAGAATGAATTCCGAATCGTGATGATTTGTCATTGTGATTGATATCTGTCCCGTCAAAGCCACAGCCAGCCTGGCTTTCTTGGCTCTCCAGCAGCTGGGAGCCACCGTTTTCCATTCCTGTAAGTCCCCACTGTAATGGCACCACAGGGCATCGTGCGGCATTAACATGGCGGCACCTGCCTGATCGTAGAGCTGCTGCCCCCAGTGCTCCCAGAGATGACTTTGCTCCTCCCTGTCCCTGTATCATCCTTGCATTGCACTTATAACTCACTTTTTTTTCCTTTCATGGGGAGGCCAGTTCAGCTTAATTAGTTCCCTGTTCTATTTTTATCCTCACAATAACAGCGCCACGGGCTAGGGTAGGCTGAGAGTGAGCTCCTAGCCCGAAGTCACTCGGTGAGCCTCGTGGCTGAGTGAGGGCCGAAGCCTGGATTCCCCGGTCCCCAGCCCAGCACGCACCACCACGCTCCACTTGCTTGCAGCTCTTCAAGGCTCTGGAGCCAGTGTCCGGTGTGGAGAATCCAGAGAGGCGGCGTGATGCAGAGGCGAGAGTGCTGGACTGGGGGCCTGGCAGGTTCAGGCTCTAGGCCTCCGCACCTGGCCCACTGGGAGTCACGGGCTCTCAGCCTAACCCACCTGACAGGGCCATTATGCCGAAATGGAGAGGAGGAGAACCTTGTAAGCTGCCTTGCGTTCCTTGCGAGGAGGAAAGGTGGGGTAGAAACCTAGTAAGAATAGCCCTAGTCTGGGGTGACGTGCAGATGGTGGTCCGCCAGGTGTGTGGTTTGTATGCGAATCGTTCCTTGTCGTTGGCTCTGCTGGAAAAAGACGATGGGCTTCCACAACCAGGCCAGGGCCCCAGCCGAGGGAATGTCCGCGCATCTGTGCAGGCTCCGGGGCCTCCTCTCCTGAGCCTTCGAAGCCCCGCACAGCCTTTCTGGCTTCAGGGATTTCGCCCAGCACCAGCCATGTTTGGTTCATCAGCCTCTTTTGTCAGCACTCATAAGAACGAGACCCTTGGCTTTTCAAAAAGAGACTAGCATCTAGAAATGGCTCGGCTGCTTGTTCAGGGCACCTGGCCTGATCTAGGATGTCCACTTTTCACCAGAGGTAATTCTGGAGACGACCCAGGAGGAGATCTGGGATGCCAAGCGTCGCACCTTGCTGCTCAAGGCTTACGCAGCCCAGGTTGCAGCAGAGCGCCAGCAGTTGCATGCGAGAGCCGCACACTTCCAGGGCCGTCTGGAGCAGCTGGAGGAGCTGGAAAGGTACAGGTCCCTTTAGCCCCCCTGCTGACCAAACGTGGCAGATCTGCTGGGTGAGGCAGAGGATTTGCATGGGGTGGGGGGGGTGCAGGGCTCAGGTGGAGGAAAAAGAGGTTCGTCCTTCTGTAGATAACCCTTTATCCCAGAAGCCCTCGGTCCTCCTCATGGCAATGCACTGAATTTGAACCTTGTTCAGGAGACAGAGGACCGGCTGATCTCTGAACATGCTTCTCCCACTGAATTCAAACATATCTTCTTTCGGCAGGAAGGCCAAGACTTCAGTGGTGTTTGGTGGGAAGGCCCCGGAGCCCGGATTTCCCAGTCTGGAGCCCAAAGTTCTGGTGAGAGCTCTTTGGGTGCTAGCAAGAAAGGATTGCATGGAAACTGGCAGTTGTTCATTCAAGCCCTAAGCTGTGTACTTAAGTCAAAGGTGGGCAACTCGTGTCCTTTAAGATGTTTTGGTCTGCGATTTTCATCGTCTCTCCATCGGCTATGACCTGCTGGTAATAAGACAGGATATACATATATATAGTAATAAATAAAAAATAAAATAGTGGTAGGAATGTTTAACAAACCCTTTCTTTAGCCAAGATTTTCCTTTGTTTCTCTCCAGCGAGATGTCCAGGAAGCCTGCCAGCTCCGCTTCCATTTCTTGAAGACCCTCTTTGAGCGCAGTGTGTCTGGGAGTTTTCCGTAAGGGCCCCTCTTTCTGTCCTTCCTTCCTTCCTTCCTTCCTTCCTTCCCTCCTTCCTTCCCTCCTTCCTTCCCTCCTTCCTTCCTTCCTTCCTTCCTTCCTTCCTTCCTTCCTTCCTTCTCATATTCTTGAACTAGTGATGCATTTCAAAGTACCAGTTTGTCCTTTAACCCTTGACTGCCTTGCCATAGAACATAGAAACAGAGCGAGTCAGAAGGGGCCTCCTGGGCCATCTAGTCTGACCCCTGGCTCCAGCTGGCTCCGCTCATGACATGCCCACCATGTGCACGTCCAGCCTATCTTTGAACACCCGCACCAATGGGGCCTCAACGACCCTCCATGGAAGCCCATTCCACACCCTCGGGGTCCTAACTGTCAGGAAGTGCTTCCTGTTCCTTGTGAGCTGACAAATTCCCCAAAATGCTGTCGTCTTCCCCAATTTGCTATGGACTTTATGTTGGCTATCTGGAACTTTTGGGCAACAAACCATTCCGCAGAGCTGGCTAACTTTGAGCTCGATCATTGGATAGGCAATTCAGAGACTGGCATGCAATTTTCTTGATTGCTTTTAAAAAATGATTTCCAGCCTTTCAGTAACAACAGAACTGTATCCAAATTGGCTAGCAATAAAATCCAGCTTAACAAGAACTTAATTAAGATGCTGCATACAACCATTGAAAATTCAGCAATAGAAATAGGAATCACAGGTGTGCTTCTATGCCACTAGTCTGCTTGAATAAAAATGCCTGCCTGCGAGCAAAAAAGCTCTCATGCTTTTCTCCTCTGGGAGAGAATTCTGCTTCCTGGGAGTGGCCTTCAGTGTCTCCATGTCAGAAGGCAACACTCCTGAACAAAGAGCCTCTGCTGAAGATCTTGAAACCTGTGGGAGAAGGTGGGTTTTTGGGAAGCTGCAGAGGGCTTTATAGTCCTAAGTAGGACTTTTAATTTTGGCTGGAAGCAGGCTGGTAGCTGCTCCCTGTAACTGGTCATGGCCAAGAGGCTGGGAGCAGCCTGCTAAAGTTTCCCCTGCATCAAACATGGCAGCAGGAGCCCCAGCGATAACTGCATCAGATATATGGATGAAAGTTCCCTGTTCGGCCCACAGTGAAGCACCTGCATTGCCCCCGCCATTGGTTCCGGGCTCGTCTCCCACTCATTGGGGCTTGCTTATTTAAATCAGCCTGTCCTCAGTTCAGCAGCCCACAGAAAAAATGGACTACAGATTCTATCCTCCTCAGCATTGTTTGGCTGGTCAGCAATTGAAGGTTTCTTTAAAAATAAAGCAACTGCCACACCCAAGATTTAAGGCAGCGGAGCCCCCCCTCCCACCTGTGTTTCTGTCTGTTCCTGTGCCCCACTCCCAGAGTTCCCTCGCCGTGTTTGGGCCTTTCCTTTGGGATCAAGCATTGTGCTCAGCTGACCCCGCTTTTTTCAGCGGGGGGGGGCTGTTGCCGCCTTTCTGATGCCCCTTCCCTGTGTCTCATAGCAGTGGGATGAGCGAGGACCAGCTGGACACGTCCCACCAGCAGTGGCTGGGCTTCGTGGAGGTAAGGCGGGCGGCTTGCTGTAGCGTCTGCAGGGCTGGGGCTGCTGCAGCAGAGGCGCTTGACCCCTTCTCCTCGGGGAACCAAGGAGCCTCGCCTGGCTTAGGTGGCCCCGAACTGCCTGCCGCGTCTTCTCCAGGGGAGGGCCTTCGCACCACCGGCTGCCTGATCCTCCTCCAACCGGGGAAGCTGGGAATTGAGTCTGGGAACTTCCGATTGTAAAGCACGTGGTGGGACTACTCTGCGGTGGCCCTGTCCTTGGCGGGACACGCCTCTGTGCGCAGTGGGGTTCCCAGCAGGACATGCCTGGCTTCACACCAGGTGCAGCTTTAGTTACTCACTTTAGGCACAGTCGTGTGCATGCTTAGACGGAGAAAGGGCCTGCCGCCATTCAGCTGGGAAATACCGGGAGTTGCAGGAGGGCACGCTTGCATTTCTGGAAGCATCCCCTTCCTGCTCTGTGCTCCCCTCCCCTCCCCTCCCCTCTCCTCCCCCAGTCTGTTCAGAATGCTGCAGTCATCTCTCTCCCTCACTTCAAAGCTCTCATCACGCTTCCTGGGCTTGCACAGCACGACAACCCGCTGCGGCTTGTCGTCCATGATGGGTTGTCATGCCATGTGACCCAGCCGCTGCCACGGACGCACAGCAGGCCTGGGGTGCGGTTGGGCACTGGGCTGCCTGTGAGCTGTGTCGACTTCGGTGACCATCCCCTGCTGCCACCTGTGTCTCCCTACAGAAGGTCGTTGGCTCCCACCCGCCGGCCCATATCCTTTCGGCCCTGGAGGACCTGGCTCTCCAGAGCACTCAGCACCTGCAGGAGCTGACCGAAAGCCTTGACATCCCCCGCGATGTGGAAGCCCTGAAGTAGGTTCCGTCCCAGAGTGCGGGGGGGGGGGTCACTGGGCCTCCCCGTGTCAAAGATGGGGCTACCCCTGGGGCGGCAGGAGCAGCCAGCCTCCTCGGGCTGTTGCTGATGGAGTCCCAGGACCTTAGCAGGAGGCGCCGTCCGAGCCGGCTTTTCAGGAAGGCACTGCTGCTGCCTGACCCCAGGCAAACCCATCAGTGCTTGCTTGGGGGTGGGAAGAGGCTGGTGCAGCAGGGGGCCCATCGGGGGGGGGGCACTCAGCTGACGCCAGCCCTCTGGGGTGCCTAAAGCATGTCAGGACCAGCAGCTCTGCCCATTCTGCCTGCTCACACAGGTTCTGCTACGACAAAGCCCACCTCGAGGACGTCTCAGACCTGGCGGGTGACTTGCCCTCTGTTGGGGGCCTCATCCAGGTAAGGAGGTTCAGTGTTGCCTCATTGCGGAACGTTCACCCACACCGATGCATCTGCCCCTGATGAGGTCCGTCAAGTGATAACCTGGCATGAGTGGGTGAGCTGCTGCCTCTGGGAATGTCCCCATCAGCCACTTCAGAGGCTGAAAACTCTTGTCAGCTGCCAAGTTACCTGGCTGCTCACAGGCGCAGGCTGGTGGATTCTGAGAGAGCTGCCTGTGTCAGATCCGGCTTGTGGGCCAACTGTGGCCATCAGGTTTCCCCAGCTGTTCTGTCCCTTCCCCTGACTCTCTCCCTCCACCAACCACTTGCATTCTGTAGTTTCCCCTTCTAAGGTTTAGGGACTGGCAGTAGGAGCTTCTAGCTACAAAACTACTTTCAGGGACCCACCTTTTGCCCTTGGCTCTGCTCTGCCTCTCCAAAGTGGAATGCCACCCCTGCTTGAAAGGAGGGGTTCAGCGAGCCTTCTATAAAACCAGTCTGGGGAACCGTGCAGTCACTCTGTCCCGCTTTATCTGGAGGGCGGTGTCCGCAGCTCTGTTGGTGCTGGAACCTTGCCATGGGTTTTGCAGGGAAAAGCCCGTGAAAAGCTCCTCCATCTCTTTTCTTCTGGCGGCAGGAGGGCTGGAGCAAGTGTGAGATGCTCTGTGTGCAGCAGATCTCACTGCATGCCCAGGAGAGGTCTCTTTCGGCCCAGCTGGATGCCCTTGTCCAGAAGATGCACCGTCTGCTGTCCGATGGCTCTGAGCGCTCCATCCTGGCCAGGTAGGGGCGGGGGTGGGGGGGGGGTCCTGCAGCCGTGCTTTCCTGCAGAGGGAGATGGACAGTGAGGGGGATGTAGTGGTCATGTTAGATCAGCTGGGGATGATGGAAGCTGGAACGCAGCACACCAGGTGGGTGCCAGGTTGCTGAAAAGGTCACTTCACACCCTTTTGTGAGGATGGCCAGGTGCTAGTTCAAAATAGGCGTGCAGTGCAGAGGTCTAACTATGGTCCCCAAGCAAGGGAACCCCACCTAACCTGGCTGCCCACAGGAAGAAAATCTCCAGTTAGGCCGTGGGATTCCACAGCAGATGCGCATCTGGCATCCCCAGTGTTTTAGGAAGACAGCCCATGATCCTTGGTTTAGGGAGTGCCTTCTGAGACTTTTCTACTGCTGTAGAATGTGACATTCTGTACGAAGGATGCACAGATCACCTCCTATGTACACTTAGACAGAAGAAGGCCTACAATTCCCCGCATGTTCCAGGCAGCATGCATAGGATGGTATGCTATGAATGATTTTCTCCGCCTGACTGCTGAACTCAGGAGAGTGCAGGCAAGACCAATAAATCAGCAGCAGGCTGTCTTTCTCCTGCACCCACATGCTCTATCCCTGCTGTGCTTCTCTCTCCGCATCCAGAGCTGTCTTTGACCTGGAACTCCGGGTGGTGCGATTACGGGGATACCGGGATGGGTTACTGCAGGGCTGCCACCAGCTGAAAGAGGTGGTGACGACCAGGCATGCCGAACTGCAGGGCTTGCAGGCTAAACGGCAGCGTATCCTAGACTTCCGCCACCTGGTGGTGAGTGCTGAGAACGGACAGTCAATCTTTGGGAGCAAGCAAATGGTGCAAGGTTTTGATGGGGGCCTCGGGAGGGGTTGGGTGGGATCCGGCTGCAGGCCCCTGTTGCAGGAGGTGGCAGGGCTGTATGAATCTGAATCCTTGTTTAGCTTCAGTGCAGAGGTGAGTCATATGTGGCTCACCCAGCCCTACAGTGTTTTTATTAAAAAATATATTTTTGGGAAAAAACAGTGCTGGTAACACTGTGGGTCTCCAGAAGGGCCAAATCTAGCTTGTTTGCATGCTACTTGCAGTACTTTTAGGGTTGTTGAACTGCTAGGGGTCTGTAGGTGAAAATGCCCTGGGACCCCCCTCCCACCATACTTGCCCGCCCCTGCTTTAGTGTTTGCTGGGTTTCAGTTCACATTACTCAGCTGATGGTGCTGTGATACACAAAATAATATATTTTGTGTCATGAGACCATATACTACTGGATGTTTGCTTCTTAAGTGGAAGCATCTCTATTCCTAGCTTTCTGCATGGACTTCCTAATGGCTTCTAAAAATATTGTGATGTAGCACATGCAGCACTAAACCAAGCGAAATAAGTGGCAATGTAGAATGCAGCTTGCAGCTTCTGAGGGGCAAAATTCTGGGCAGGTGGTTTGGACGGTGCTTGCTGCCCTCAGTTACTTGGCAGCCTTGTCCTCACTCGCTCTAGAACTGGGCCAGGGAATTGAAAAGAAGAAAGCTCAACATTAGGAGACACTTCCCAATGTTAAGGGCTAAGGTGGTGGGTCTCTCCCCTGCCGGAGGCTCTCATGCGGCGGCCAGGCAGCTGTCCGGGGTGCTGCATTTGCGAGAACCCTGGGCTGAGCAGGGGGTGGGACGAGTTGACCTGCCAAGGTGCCTGCCAACTCTAGGCTCTTTGATTTTGCTTCCCTCTGGCAGAAGGAGAAACAGGAAAACATCCGAGTGCTCATCAAGGGCACTTCATTTATTAAGTCCCAACTTCGCAAGGACCAGGCTGAGGTGAGAGATCCCTGTCATCCCGCTTATTTATTGCATGGAGGTGGGAGGGCCGGGCGAGAATCCGGCCCTTGGAAATAAGGAGAGGTGTGGTAGAGCCACCTTCATTGTGGGCCTGCACTGTTTTGGCAGGAGCTGGTGCCTCTGGGAAGCACTTGACTCCTGTGTGCCAGGGCATTTCCTGAGCAGGCCTGGTCTGTACCACAGAAAGCATGTGGACTAGAAACCTTTAAAAACATTTCTTTAATAATGAACCGAGGATGCTGGAATGCCATTCCTGCATCCAGAAACCGTCTGTTCTTATTTGGTGTACTTGTGAAACTGTTGGCCTATAGTGTGTCTCTGTCTCTCTGTCCGTTTGGTCTCTCTCAGATCCAGGACTTCATCAAGAAGAAATTGCTGCCACAGGCACAACAGCTGGAGTTGGAGACACAGCAGCTGCGTGACCATGTGGACCGCACAGTCCAGCAGTTCGGGGCTGTCGCCCTGCCTTGTCTGCTGCGCCGAGAGCTCTCTGGGTGAGTCCCTTGTGAGTTCTTCCTGGCAGGTGAGAGATGCTTTAGGCTTGTGGGATGGGGAAGGACACAATTCTGAAGATGACAGTGGATTCAGGTCTCTGGAAATAGCTTCTTTTTCAAAAGCCAGTTATGATTGAAAGCATCTTGGTTAATGTCTCTGAAATCTCTGGAGCTGGAGAAGCCATTCTTTAACTTAAGCCTGAGGCTGGAGAGCTGAGGACCCTTATTTCTGTTGCCGTCCTTCAGGCCTCGGTGTGTCCCTGCCCACGAGCTCTCTATCCACCGCCTGAGCCGCACAGCTCCAGCTGAGTACCGGGCCTTCCTGAATGTGTGCAATGGCGCTGCCTTCCCCCTTTACAAGGTTGGTGGCTCCCCGCTGTAGCCTGGGATGCATCCAGGATAACTAGAAGGAGTGGGGCGGGGGGGGCAGAAGGAAGTTCTGGATCTACTGCTAGATCCCTGGGTGTTTCAGTATAAAGAGCAGAGGAAGCTGCCTTCCGCTGAGTCGAACCATCGGTCTGTCTAGCCCAGTATTGCTGATACCGACGAATAGCAGCCTTGCTAGGTTTGGGGCGGGATTCTTTCCTAGTCCTGCTGGAGATGCCCAGGGGTTGAAACTGGGACGTTCTGTGTGCTGAGCACGTGCTGTGCTGCTGAGCGACAGCCTCTGCCGATCCATTGGCAACTATTTGCATAAATTGGCAAAGACTTCTGATTCTTGGTTCTCCAACAATAAGTAACAATACAGTGACTCCCCTCCTGCAGTCTAAAGGAGACTTTCAGGCAACCAGGACCGTGGGTGCCATTCTGTTGGCTTGTTCAAAACCAGTTCCTGGGCCACCGCACTATCATTCTGAATTTTTCCTTATTATTTGCATCAAGCAAAACTTGGGATTCTTGCAAAGAAAACAATCCGAAAGTAGACTCTCCCAAGCCTCAAGTCTGGCCACTCCTGGACAAAGCAGTTTGGGTTGAATTGTTTTGAAGAGATGGTGTGTTTGCCCCACCTGCTCGTGCAGTGGACTGTAGCTCAGCGGAAGGGCCTGAGCCACAGGTCCAGCCCCTGATGCTCCCATCAGAAAGCCTCTGCTGGTTGCTGTAAACCAGCCCTCTCCAAGCTGGCACACTCCCTTCAGGCTTGGACAGCAAGGGCAGTGGGAGTAGCCCAGAACATTTGAGGGGCACCAGGTTGCAGGAAGGCTGGAGAGGGGGTGCTGGGGTGGCTAAGCTAATCTGATCACAGACAGATTCTGCAGCAATCAAGCAAGGAGGACCTAAGTTCTCTTCTCCCCATTCCTCTGTTCAGGCCCCCGAGGAGCTGCTCCCCCACATGGCAGAGCTGAAGAAGATGCTTCCTTTCCTCCGCGCTCGCCTGGCTTCAAAACAGAGGGCTCTGGGGAACCTACAACACCAGCTGGAGAAAGCTCCTGAGCCTGACGTGCCAGGTGAGCGGACTGTGGGATATTTTTCAATCCCTCGTTTGGTGTCCTCCTCCCATACCAGAAAATCATGAGGAGTCCATTTATATATTTTAGAGGGGTGACATTTTTTCGCTCTAAGTGCCTCAAAGGCTGTCACAAAGAGGAAGGTCAGGATCTCTTCTCATTGATGCCAGAGTGTAGGACATGAAATAATCAGTTCAAGCAGTGACAATCCAGATTCAGGCTGGACATCAGGAAAAGCTTCCTCACGGTCAGAGCAACGCAGCAGTGGGACCAGCTGCCTAGAGGGGTGGGGGGCTCTCCCACACAGGAGTCATCCAAGGAGAAACTGGGCAGCCACCTGAGTGGGATGGTGTCATGTGGTGTCCTGCAACAGCAGCGGGTTGGACTGGATGGCCTTCATGGCCCCTTCCAACTCTACTAGTCTACGATTCTTTGTGGCTCTTGCTTATAAATGGAAGCAAGCCATGTGTACATGCATCAAAATGATTTCAGAGATCTAGATCATATTTTTTCTGTTCTGTCAGTGGAGATGGGGGTGGCATGGATATCCCAAGGCCACCCACAAAATCTGAAACCTCCGCGGGAGAGAGAAGCCAGGGGGCATACCGCCCAAGCACAGCACTCTCACCATCACTGGGACCTTCCCATAGCACAGGGATGGGGAACATGCGCTTCTCCAGCTGTTGTTGGACTGCAGCTCCTGCCAGCAGTGATCAGTGGCTGCGCCGTCTGAGGTAGGTGGGAGTTGCCATCCAGCAGCAGATGGAGGGGCTCAAGATCCCTGCCCCCACCATCACGGTTGGTTGGATGGGTAGGCATAAGAGACAGTGCCTTCTCAGTGGTGGCCCCATCTTTACAGAAGGCCTTCTCACAGCATGTGCATTCAATTATTCGGTTGTTTATTAATGTGCCTTCAGGCTCTTTTTATTGCATTCTGGTGTCAGTTGCTAGAGTCGGTCTGGTAGCCGTTGGTATCCCATCTTTGCTGGTCCAGGTTGTGATGTATTTGTTGCTACTGTTCTAGTTAACTGTGTGCTTTTGTTCTTTGTGGCAGCCCTTGTGTGCAGGGTGCAGGCGCACGATCGGGAGCAGGCCCGCGAGCTGCTGCCCCGCATCCAGCAGGTGACGGAGCAGTGCCGGTGGCGCATGGAGCATTGGCAGGAGGTGCAAGCTGTCATAGATGCCTGGTGAGTGGAGGAGGAGCGGGACGTTCAGGAAGTGGTGCTGTGAGCGTCCTTCCCCAACTGGGTGCCCTCCAGATGTGGTGGGCTGCACCTACCACCCTTGCCAGCCAGCAGGTTGGAGTCTTGGGGTGAAAGGAGCAGGCGACCCGGGGCAGATTCCCCGGTCACACGTGAAACTTACTGGGTGGTTTTGCAGTGCTTGGCCTGATGCGGCATTGCAGGGTTGTTGTGAAGGTAAAACAGTGGCAGCAGTGGGGGCAAGAAGGACTGCGCATGCCTCCTGGAGCTCCTTTGGAGAAAGGCGAGGCATGAATGGAGGAAGCGGTGTGTCTAACAGGAGCGCATTCAGCTTCAGAGGCCGGTCTTATGGAAGCAGTTGCAGCTGTAGTGAATGGGCTGTACTGGGCAGTTTTCCAAAAGGCACACTTACCTTGTGCAGGGCAGTAAACCTGGCCTGAGCTCCGCCTAAATTTTTGGACTTTCTAGAATCTCTTTCAGTTCAACGACCAAATTCCACTTTCAAAAACGCTCCCAAGGGTTGCATCCCAGTGGTGGATGAGGCCAAAGTTGAAAGAGAAATGGTTAAAATACAACAAAGTCCGACCTGTTGTAGCTTAAAGCTCTTATTCCCAGTAACTAAGCCTCATTCCAACCTTTAAGAATGGGCAGAAGCCCCGGAACCATCTCACACGGGAAGGGTGTGGCTCCAGGGGACAGGGCATGACCACCTGAGGCATCCCACGCCTGCCCGATTTGGCCCTAAGCCTGACATTCAATACCCCTGTTTTATTCTTCTGTTTTATCCCTTTATTACTTTTATCTGCCACCCAGTAGCCACATCCTCTAGGCAATTCACCACAATCAATGGACTCCCTGCTGACCTCTTTCAAAGCACAGGGGTTCTGTGGCGAATGCCTCTGGGGACGGCAATTCTTGGTGGTAGAAAGTCTCAAAACGACTGACCTGGGACACTTGGTGCAGTAGCACCTTAATACAAGAGTATTTTTGTCCCAGTTGCTAAGGTGAATGTTTCCTCAGATTGGTTCTGTCTCCGAATCCAGCTCAAGTCTGTTGTTATTGGCACAAATACACATGCTGCACATATTCTTGTATTCATCCTGCGTCTTGATGCAGGCAAAGTTAGCTGGGCAGCCTTGCTTCCTTTCGAAGGGGATCACGGTAACACCATATGTTGCTGTGTGGGTGAAAATAATGCCACTGGCGATGGAGTTAATCTAAGCATATGTTGCAAAGTGTTTTCCCCCGCTTTTCCACAAGCTATGCTTGAATTTCTTGAGTTGGAAGGCTCTTCTACTGTAAAAATTCTTCCATGGGTAACCCTCTGCTGTCCGGGCTGTGCGAGAGACATCTTCCAGCTAATCTGGCACACTCTCTTCTACATGTGCGACTCCCCATTTCAGTGTGCAGGTGGTAGTGAAAGGTTTTGGCCCCACCCGTCTGCTAAGCTCTTAACTTGAACGCTGAAATCCAACACTCCTGCCCTGAACTCTGAGTGGAGCCTTGAAGATGTCCCAGAATCCTCTGTAAGGCTCCCTTTGGCAGGTAATCTAACATCCAGAGGAGGCTCCTGGGGGAGTCGGAACACCCGCAGAATAGCCCGAGGCAGCCGTGGCCTCCTCCCAACCAAAGGGCTTCAAGCAAAGGGTCTGCTGCCGAGAGGGCTTACCTGGCCTGCCACTCACCCCTGCTCTCCCTCTCCAGGTGGGAACAACCGGGACAGTTCGTGCTCCCTGGAGAGCGCCGCCTGGGCTTCACATTGCAGCAGTGGCTGGAGCGCTGGACCCTGGCCACCAGGGCCCTGCAGCAGCAGCAGCAGCAGCAGCACAGCTGGGCCTGAGGCTCGCGGGGTTCGCGCCCAGGTAGAGCTGGGAGGCCCTTGCTGAAGGAGTGTGGCTCGCAGCTCCTACGCCGGCCACAGACCTCGTTCTGCCAGGTTGCCCAGGGGGCAGAATGGCGACTGTACTGCAGGGAGGTGCTTTGGTCCCATGCGTGCCCCCACCCAGACCTGTTGCGGGGAGCAAGACGTAGTGTTGCAAGTAGAACTGACCAGCCTTCATTGGCAGGAGTGTGCCTTCATATTTTATTTACTAATTCTTTGAAATAAATCCGAATCAAGTTTGCCCTGTCTTGCATCCTTTCTGTGACCGGGTGTGTGCCAGATATGACGCTCCGTGTGCCAGCTGGGACCCATTGACAGTTCCTGGTTCATTCTGCTCACTGTGCTTAGCTAGTTGCCTGCCTTTCTGCAGGTAAAAAGAAAGAACGGAAGTAGCGCAGCCTTCCTTTTCTTCTTCCTCCAGGGATGGCACAGCTTGAGTGTAGAGAGAGAAGCAAACCACTGAGTGGTGGCGAAAAGGAGGTGGGAAATGACGGGGGGGGGGGGGTGCTGTGGCGGCCATCTTGGCCCAAAGGTCACCCAGTCCTGAAACCAGCACTGCCGCTCTGCCATTTGTATATTTAAGTGATGGTGCTGCAGCCAGAGCCCCAAAACCTAACTCACCCGTCTCTGGCCCATGATAAGCAGGTCCCATGGTCAGAATAGGTTCCCGCAAAAGCTGGCCGTCCCCCTTGAAGACTGTTGAACAGCGTGGTTGGATAAGGGAAGGTAAGATTAGATTGAGGAAAACGGATAGTTAGCTTATTTTTAATTTAATGCAACTAAAAGACTTGGGTTGAAAGTAGGCATTCAGAGAATGGAAGTCCTACCATCTTACTGTGAAATTGGAACTCTGCAGTCTGCATTTAGTACAGCCAGGAAAATGTCATTTGACATCTCCAAGCTAATTCACTGGAATTCTCCCTTGTGGCACAATCTGGGCCTTTGTTCTCTCTGCGCATGCACAGGATTGCACCCTTGCTCTACCGAATCCCTTTAGAGGTAGCCACCAGCTTCCTTAGACAAGGATTCGTTCGCATCACACGGATGTTGCCAAAAATTAGAGAAATGGGTTTTCACCTTCTAGCTTGAACATCCTGGTATCTTAGAGTCTGCAGCAAGTGACCACACACTCTTATATGGGTCTGTTTATAATTGCTGTTATTATAGCCTTTTTTCCTCTTGTGAGAAACCCAAAGCAGCTTTACATGGCTCCATTTTAACCTCAGAGCAGCAGCCCTGTGAGGTGGGTTGGGCTGAGAGTCTGCCTGCTGCAAAGGCACCAGGTGAGCTTCCCGGCTGTGGCGGGTCTAGAATCCAGAGCAGCTCCTCCCAGCCCCAGTCCAGCCCTGGACCCACAGCACCACACGGGGCCCATTAAGTCCAGTAAGCCCAAGCAGAGGTGGGTACAGGATTGCAGCCCAAGAAATCTGTCTGTTAGACCAACATTGCAATTTTAGGCATGCTCAGCTGAGGGTAGCCATGAAATCACGAGCCATAACCAGGCTTAAAACTGAACTAACGCCCCGGGGCGTTCTTTAAAAAATGCCACTTCCACTCCCAAGCTGCACAGCTCTCTTCTGAATATTCTGCTGGAACGTGCTGTGTCTCTATTAAGGGAAGACAGACCCCTGCCCCAGTCCCGAAAGCAATGCAAGGGAGCCAAGTTTAGGTTGGGCAAGAGGAGGGAAATGGAGGGAGGCCCACACTCCAGGTGTTAGCATACCTTTAATGGGTTAAAAAGTTGAGCAAGGGAGACAACGCATTTTCATGTGTCTGCACGTTCACACATCCATAAACCCCCCAAAATTACACTTGCCTAAAGAAAGGGTGTATTTAGCTATCCAGGCAGTCTGTTTCCGATGAAGTCCTGCCAGCGTGTGCAGCTGAAGTCTTCGCAGCCCCACTAACTGCTGCTTGGATGGGAAAAGACAACTCCCCATCTCTCTCTGCCGAATTCTGCCAGAGCTCCAGTGTGCGCGTGCCGGCGACCAGCCTGTCTCCTTGCAGCTCCTGTTAACCCTGGTCAGCAGCAGCTCCAGCTGGCGGGTGGGGGAACGGGGGCACCAACATCGCACAGACTTGTCCGCCTTGCTGTTAGACTAAGCTGAAGGAGCTGGAAAAGTCCGCAGAACAGCTGCCGTGCTTCTCCCGTAGACCCCCTTTTATGGTGTTGATATTCTCTGGCTTAGCAGCTTCTCAGCCAGTTCTCCCAGCAGGCTGTGGATGTCACAGACAAAGCGGTACACATAGCGCTGCCCACTGGTCTTGTGAATGATGTTCTTATGATAGTAATAGCGCAGCCCCCGGCTCAGTTTTTCGTAGGTCATGCGGGGCTTGTTCTTCCGCTTACCCCAGCGCCTTGCCACCTAATGGGAGTAATTGCTGTTATATTACATCGACACTCACTCTTTTTCCTCCTGGAAGGGGCCCAAGATGCTTCTCTCCAGTTGGTCCTCACCATGGCAATCCTGTGAGTGCCTGAGGTGGGATATGGGGTGTCCAAACAGGAGTCCATGCCTGGCCCAAAGTCACCCAGTGAGCTTCGTGGCTGAGCAGGGAGTTGAGAGCAGGAGGAAGAAAAGACGCATGTTTTGAAGCCTGTCTCTTGCACTCGCATGACGCACACAAGAGTTACAGAGACAGCAGTGAGGGCTAATACCAGCCCACCTGGCGTCTCCCCTTCCTCCGGCTTCTCTATTTTCCCTCCAGGCACCGGTAGTTTCATTTCCTGACTTTTGTGCCAGTATTTTCAAATTCTAAAAAGTTAAAACGACTCTTGTCCTTGCTAGTAGTAGGAGTTTGAAGCTTCACTCTACTGGTATCTGGGGTGCTCCCCTTCTTGTCCTGGGCCCAGGTATGAACAGAATGTGTCCCCCAAGAATGTCTCTGAAATGGAACTGGCCATTAGCCTGAAAAAGATTCTGCACCCAGTCCATAAGGACCAGAAACTAGATTTAATTAAGAAAAAAAGTCATTTTCATGTGTCTCTCCAAATCAAGGCCTTCTTTATTGGGGCATAAAAGCAGATTCACTTCTTTAATTTGTGATCAACTACAACCCTTTGGTGAACAAGCTAAGTGAAGAAAAACTGGGCCTCACCTCGTGGGGGTCACACAGTTTAAACTCCCAGTCATTCCCTGTCCAGCAGATGAACGCCTGGCACGAACCATCCTGGAGCAGTTCCAGCAGAAAACGCCACAGCTGGATGGGACCAGAACCTGTTCGGGAAAAGGTTTTGGGGGGGGGGGGTGGAGGTTAAGCAGGGCTTAAATACAGCTAAGGCTGGGGAGCTGTCTTGAATGCCCAGAATGCAGTCCTAGCATGTGGGGAAACAACTGTTTTTCTGGGCCACCATTTCTTTCACTGTCAAGAAATCAGTCAGTCCCAGCACATCAGAGATGGAGAGGGGGAAGGTTTTCTTCTCTGTTCCACCCCTGGCCATCTGCTTTTTGTTACCCATATGCTGTTTTGGGGGGAATCGTTGGAAGCAGTTTGGACAAGACTAAATAAAAACAACATGACAAAAATTGTGGCGAAAAGAATTGCAAAAATAACACAAATGGTTGTTTCAACTCCTAATAAAGGCAGCAGATTTAAATCTGCTTGTAAGGTTTCACTGATCGCCTACACAAAGCCTGTTGCAGGAATAACACAGATAACAACTTCAAAACCAAACCAAGGCAGCAGATTTAAATCTGCTTGTGAGGTTTGACTGATCGCCTACACAAAGCCTGTTGCGACAAGATGGTCTTTACAAGATACCTGAAAACCAGAAGAGGTTGGAAGATTTCCAAAGGCACAACCTTGAAATTGCCACCAAAATGGTTTCTCCCTTCTCTTTTTGGATGTCCAGCAACAACTGGCTGGAGAGACGAGCTTCCAAACTAGATCTTAATTGTTGGGGAGGGGGGTGCATTACATTGGAAGCAGGTTGTCTGTAAGCTAGGTTATCCAAACCCAAGTTTCTCTGGGCTACAGCTCCTAGAATTCCTGATCATCATTCATGTGGGTTGGATCTGAGAGGAGCTGAAGTCCAAGGCCTCTAGAGAGCATTATGTTGGTGAAGGCTGGTTTAGGGCTTTGAAATCCAGCCCTTCAGATGTTTCTGTGTGTGCCCCATCCAGTCCGCCTTCTTTGCCCAGTATTACCTGTCCGATCTGTATGAGAAGTGTTGGCGACATGGGTGTCAATCCAGCCTCTTAATGCCCTTTTTCTCTGGATCCTGAGTGGTGACTCACATTGACACAAATCGCCATCTGAGATACTAGGCTGGCTGAGAGCGGCTGGGCCAGGCACAGTTTTCCAGTTATAGAATTCCTTGGCCCTCAGAAAGGCTTGTCCTGGAGGGAATAACATAAGCATGAACTGAACAGCAGGTGGGCAATGCCAGAGAGAAGTCATAGAATCTTCAGGGAGACTGGGAAGAGATTGGGGCATCAGCGCCCCTGTACCCCATGCCCACCGCCCTCCTTCCTTGATTTGGTAGCAGCAGATTTTGGGGAAGGGGCTGCAGAGCTTGATTTACATGAAGAAGGCCCAGGTTCTATTTCTGGCTTGTCCAGATTAAGCTAGAAGGAATCCTGCCTGGAGCCTTGGAGAGACACCTTGATTTGAAGCAACACTGCAGGTGAATAGATCTCACTATGAATTAAAGAGCAGCTGGTCCAGGCATTTGTGCTATCAACCAAGATCACCTTCTCCCATCAAGCTACTTGGTCCTTAACATCTTCTTTCTGAAGAGGCTGTTCTTTCAAGACCTCCATCATCAGAGAGACGTTTGGTGGTATCCTAAACAGGCCCTTGTGTTGGCCATTCCCAACTGTGGCGCTTTCCCCTAAGAGAGGCAAGGTTCACCCCCCCCCCCCCGCTGCCCTTCCTATGGCAGGAAAAGACTGCTTTATTTAAGAAGGCCTTCAGCTTGTGAGCATGTGCCCTGGGTGCTGTTTTGTCATATAATTGTTATGCTTTTGTGCTATTTTCATGCATTTTATTGTTTTAAAACATTTCACATTGCTGTGTAAACTTCCTCAGGTGTCATTTATGGGTGGAAAGGTGGGATGTAAATTGAAAGTTAAACAAGTTTATTGGCACATGGATTTCCTCTTGATTCTGGACCCCACCGTGTGCACACACACACACGCAGAGAGAAGTATTATTTTGAGCAATTGAATCTAAGAGGAAAATGCGTTTTTCACCTGCTGCTCTTGTGGGGACAGAATTTGCCCTGCCGATCTCATCCACCTTCCACGTGTCCCCAGGACTGCATGCTGAGCAGGATGGGCCAGTGGCTGGACCCGCTCTAAGGACGCTCCTCACCTGCCTCTTGCTCGTCCTGCTGACCTCCAGGCAGCGGCTGGGATGGAGCTTGCTGTTCTTCCGAGGAGAGGTACGCAGGAGACGGTGCGGGCTCCAGGTGGGCCCCGTGGCAGCAGTCCTCGGGGCTTGTCAGGACACCGTCCGGATGGAGTGCAGGAGGCCTAGAGGCTGGAAGGTGAAAGGGTTGCCGGGAAGGTTACCTGAAGGAGCGCCTGTGTCCATATGTGCCCTCCCACCCCCTGAGATCGGCGGCAGAGGCCCTTCTCCAGGAACCCTTCGTGAAGGACATTAGGAGGGTGAGTACCCGGAGGAGGGCTTTCTCTGCAGTGGCGCCCAACCTATGGAATGCGCTCCCCAGAGAGGTCCGCCTGGCGCCGTCATTATTTGTTTTTCGGCGCCAGGCCAAGACCTTTTTATTTAAATATTATTTTAACTGTTGATTTTATTTATTGATTTTAGATCTGCTGCCAGGATGTCTCCAGTTTTTATGTATTTTGTATAGAAATATATTTATTTATGTATTGGAAGCTGCCCCAAGGCTTAAGCGAATGGGGCAACATACCAAGTTGTCCAAATGAATGAATGAATGAATGAAACTGCTGCTCTCCTGTATATCACATTTTACTGACACTAAAGCCCCCTTTTTACCCAGAACCATTGGACAGAATGATGGTGTGGAAGCGAGGCTCACAGGGACCTGCCACCAGCAATGGAGGACTCGCAGGGGCATGGGTGTCCTCTGCCAGCCCTGGGCTTCCTTGTCCCTTGGCAGCAGTCCTCGTAGCTGGAGGATGTCTTTTTCCAGCAACCACATGCGGTTCTCTGTTATAACACAAAGCATTTCATGGGCACTTGGCCTTGAATGAGACCCCATGAACTTCATGAAGGCGCTGCCCCTGGTGTAGGTGACAAGTGCCTTGCTGATGCTCTCCTTGGGGGGTGTGACACTTCAAAATGTCACACTCCGCCAGTGTGTGACTTCGTTGGTTCTCTTGCACGTGCCACAAGTTGGGAAGTGCCTCCCTGTTGAGATCTGCCAGGTGCCCTCTTTGGTCTGCATCTTCTGAAGAGGCTAACCTCCAACATGGCCCTGAGTTGCAACACACCTGCTCAAGTGAGGCACAAGCTTCTTAAATCTAACCGCATTCCGTTACTTCCAGACATTGGCCAAAACTCACCTCTGTTATACATTCCCCTGTAATCCAAGCAGGAAGAGTCTTGTGTCAACTCCACTGTGGTGCTTGTGTACTCAGGGAAACCTGGAAAAGAAGTGAGGAATGCCATTCAAGGATTGTTCACTTGGTGCCACCTTCCCCAGGCTGGTGCCCTCCAGATGTTTTGGATCTCAATCCTGAACAGCAATGGCCAAAAGACAGAAATACCAGGAGCTCTAGTCCAAAACATCTGGAGAGTACCAGGTTGGAGACGGCTGACCTCATGGCAGTGACAGGGTTGGCCAGCGCTGGTGCACATTGGGATCCTGCTGCAAAACAGCCGGTATTACCTTTCAAGCCAGCTGTGTAGTAGAATGGCGTTTCTTTGTCAAACCCTTCAAGTTCGGCTAGGAAACTCCTGCCAGTCCAGCTTGGCAGCTGCTGGTCCATCTCATTTTCTGGCAGAAACCAGGAATCTACAGTGCTGAAATCATCTTCTTGAAAAATCTTCCGGTAATCTTCCATAAAATCTTTAGAAGGAAAGAAGGGTGGAAGTTGTAAAGGCATCAAGATCTGCTTTCCAGTTAAAAACAGTGTTTGCTTTCAGTGCCACAACAGCAACCCAGGCCATGTGAGATTGCACAGGGAACGACAGACCTTGGAGCAAGAATTAAAAGCAGCTTGCCAGAGAGCGCTGGGCCTGGTGGATGCCCTTGGCCCACCGTTGTCCCTGATGAATGGCAGCGTCCGTCCCCTCTCGATCAGCCTTCCCCAACCCGGTGGCCTTCAGAGGCATTTGGACCAGACCTCCCTCCATTCCCATCCAGCAGGGCCAATGACTGGGAATGCTGGGTGTTGCAGTCCAAACGTGCCTGGAAGGCGTGACGTTGGAGAAGACTGCTCTATATCATTTGGGGGAAATACCTGGGCACTAGGAAGAAAGAAGACAAGGCAACTGCCTTGGTTCAACTCAGACGATGGGTTGTGTTGGACCACAACTCCCAGCCAGCACGGAGGGAGTTGTAGTCCAGCACACCTGCATGACCCTCGACACCAACAGGTGGCAGCTGTCTTGTTTTCAGCTGGAGGCTTTCCCAGCATCTGCTTCGAACGGGACAGGGAGATCCTCTGCACGCACAGGTTGCACTCGCAGTCAACAGCAAGGTAGGCACCCAGCCCAGGCCCACTGGCAAAGCCCCTCCTCTGCAACATCTCCCTGTGGCCCAGGCGAAGGCGTAGGAGATGCCCTGCCCACCTGGGCTCCTGCTCTCTGCCTGCCAAGCAAGCGAGGCCGAGCAAAAGGACGAGGAGCGTGCTCTTGGCAGCGAGAAAAGACCCTCAAGGAGGGCGGGCCCTGAGGAGCGCCTTGCCCAGGGGCCCACAAAACCTGGAGCCAGCACCTCTGGACTCGATCCCAGAGCTATGGCGGCTCCAAGGAACCTGCTCTCCTTCCCAGCCATGCTCAGGGACCAACAAAGCCTCTGCGGAGCAAGCGACAACCCCAATGGGTCGCCCTGGCCAGGCACGCTGGGCAGGCACAAGACTCCACGGGTCACAGGAACTGAAATTTCTTTCCAACGACTCACGGGGCTCTCACAACTGATTGTCTCACTGGCTGTGGTTCGATGTATGTTGACCTGAATGCTTGCAGCAGGGAACATCCAGCCTGCGCAATACTGGAAGTTCACTTCCAACCATATGGCTAAGGAATGGCTTCAACTTTACCAAAAGTGTCTTTCACATTTGCTTTCCACACGCCCCCCCATCTGTGGGGCTGTTATTATTTATTTAGGTCACAGCCTTATGCTGTACTGGCTGGGGCAAGCAAGGAGTGGTAAAATCTTTTTTGGCCCAAGCATGCTCAGGATGCTGTCCTTACAGTGTTTGAATGTGGTACTAAAGACAATTGAAAGGTGCCACTATCAGTTCAACTAAAACAGGACAGAAAGCAAAACTTTCTTAGCCAATGTAAACCTTGCATTTGAATTCCAGGTGTGGGAGACAAAAAATAGTTCAGGGATTGCTCAAAAATAGCTAAAACCTTGGAGGTTGCTCTTCCAAATATCTAAAATGTTAAAGACCGTCTTCTAACAGAGTAAGGGTGAGTGTTCCACCCACACCCTGCTGCTGGTAAAGAATACTCACCTGATACTTCGGTCTCTGCCCCAGTTGGTACCATCTGCAGGGGGGGCTCCATCCAACACTGGTGCCGAGGATCCATAATTGCAATCTAATGGTGATGATTAGAGGCTTTATTTACCGGTTACATGGCTATGCTTGCCTTTCTTCCAAGGATTGTTATCTAATCCTCCTCGCTCCATTTTATCCTCACTACAACCCTGCAAAGTAGGCGAAGCTAAGACCGGTGGCTGGCTCAAAGTCACCTGGTGCGTTCATGGGCGAGTAGGGACCAGAAAACAGGGCTTCCCCGTCCCAGTCCAGCACACCAGTGGCTGCACCACACTGGCTCTCACGCTGAACTCTCTCCCAGCCGCAAGCAAGGCAAGGCAAGGCAGCAGGGCTGGTGCTGAACGTGGCAGATGGGCTTTGCCAAGGCACCAAGAACAGCAAAGGTCCACCACGCCGGACGGCACGGCTTTACTCCGTCTGTACAAATTATCCAAGAAGCTTAACGACCGAGTGAACCTTTGCCTGGTCTTGTAGTTGAACAACTGCACAACCCGGACATTTAGGAGCAGAGGTGGAATGTTTTCCCCACTCGCGCACCACAGATGTGTCCTGAAATGCAGCATTTTCACTCTTGATCTGTCTCACAGGAGTGAATGGGAGTCATTGCCTTACATAGTGAGAGGATATGTATCTGTCCATGAGCACCATAGCATAACAGCACAGCATGGAAACCCAGATGCCTGAAATTTGACATGCAAAGTAAGGGGCCCCTAGCAAGGTGCACCCTAGAGTTATTTGGCTTTTAAGATGTGCCAATTCAGTTCTTCCCAGGGGTGGTGGTTTGCAATGCTACGGCCTGTCCCTAGGTGGCAAACTTTCCCAACCAGAAAGGGGAAATTAGCCGTTCTTTGCCTGTTAGTGAAATGGACAATCAAGTTAAAGGTTTTTGTGGGTATTGCTTTAACGCAAGCAGGGGAGGCCCAGAGGGCCCCAGGTCTGGCAGCAGTATATGCTGGCTTGAAGGCCTTGCTTGTATTAAACTAAGCATAATTCCAACCCACGTGATACCTGGTCCATTCACTAGTGTGGGATAATGCAAAGCTACCTGCTCAATTACTTTTCTAGCGTGAACAAGGCAGAGGAATGATTCGTGGCTGGAAGCTGTACGGTGATGCTTGAGCTAAATGCTTGTGCACGCTTTGCTCCATCTAAGATAGCTTGCTGCGCGAGGTGGGGTTAGGGTGGCCGCTTGGGGATTGCTAAACAAAGAGAATATGCATCAGCTCATGCATATTTTGCTTATGCCTGTGCTAATTCTATATTGCTACGGAAAGTTGAAGGCAGAAGAAGGATGAGGTGGACTGACTCCATGAAGGGAGCCACAGCCTTGAACTCTGAAGAGCCAAGCGGAGTGATGTAGGCAAGACATTTGGGGGGGGGGTGCGGGGGGTTATTCACCAGAGCTAGGAGACAACTGGATGACACATATGTGTTTGTGTGTGTTGTTGTTGTTGCTATGTGCCATCAAGTTGTCTTCAGCCTATGGTGACCCATATATACCTACGCTTACATTTATAGCTCATCTTTCTTCCTTTTGCAAGGAACTCAATGCATCTTCCATACTCCCTTTCCTCTCCATTTAGTCCTCACAACAATCCTGTGAGGTAGGTCAAGGGGAGAGTCAGCGGTTGGCCTAAAGTTATCCAGTGAGCATCAAGGCTGAGTGAGGACTCAAATCTGGATCTCCTGACTTCCAGTCTAGTAGTCTAGAGGCTCTGAAACACGCAGAAGACAATCTAGACATTCCTGGAATGTACTATATTTGCATTTATTAGAATGTAAATAGAAGTGCCCAGGCTGGCTGGCTTGGGTGGGAGCTGGAGTCCAAAAACAGATGGGGTGCTCCTGGTTTGGGAAGACTGGTTTAAAGGGGAGCAGGAATGAAGAAACTGTGGCTCTCCAGCTGTTGCTGGAATACAGCCCCCAGAATCCCAGATTATTGGTTATGCTGGCTAAGCTGATGGGAGTTGGAGTCCCTCCAGTGTCCTTTGGAAAGCCACCCAGTTCCACCTCTGTTGCAGAGTCAGACCACTGGTCTAGCTAGCCCACTGAGAGGGCAGCCTTGCACGTGCTTACTCAGGAGTCAGTCGTCCTCAGTCCGCGGGACTTGCTCCCAGGTCAACGGGCAACTGCATCCCGAGGGCAGCGAGTCTCCAGAACAAGGGATGTAGTGGAATTCACACACACACCCCTCCCTCCGCCACTCCTGCGGTCATTCCATTCCAGACTCCTGTGTTCTTGCACTTGCTTAGCAGGGGCTTGGGCTGGAGGATCCCTAAGGAAAACCTTCAAGGCCCGGGCAGCTATAAAGGTGCACGGTTCTTTCTCAGCCTTCTTCACCCTTGTGCCCTCCAGGTAGGGGGAACAACAGCTCTCGGGCGCAAGGCTGTCCCATGAGCACCGGCATAGCCAAGGTGGAAAGGCATGCCACCCTCTGTATGGTCTTGGACAGACTCCAGCCCGCCCGCTCTGGCCAGCATGACCCATGGCTGGGGACTCGGAGCACAAATATGCATCCCCTCTTGTCGGTGGTGCCGTCTCCTCTTTTTTGGCAGCCCCTAAGCAGCCGCCCCAGCTGTGCCTCCGGCAGCAAAAGGTTTTGGATGGGCCAGACAGTCCAGATGAGCTTTTAGCTTCAAAAGCAACCAAGTGGTTGGTTGGCTGGCTGGCTGGCTGGCTCGTTCGTTCACTCATTCATTCATTCATCTGAGTGCTGCCCACTGGCATCACCCTCCGCCCCCCGCGCGCAAATGCGAGCGATCTCCCTGGTGAGAGTCATCCCCACATACTGGCCGAGGAGTGACAGAGGCTTCGTCGAGCAGGGGAACAGCGCGCTGCTTCAGGAAGGCAGCTCGGTCTCCCGCTGGGTTCCATGGCCTGAGCCGTGCCCTCGGCCTGTGTGCGTCCGTCCGCGGGCACACGCAATCCCTTCTCCTGCCCCTCGGGGCATGTTGGCTTTCCTTACCTCTTCGCAATGCTGCATCCAGAGACGGCCGGCCCGACGACGCCTCTCTGGGGCAGCTGAACCGGGAGCTCCTGCTGCAGCGTCCCGTCTTGGACGGCCTGGAATTGGGGTGGGAAGAGGAACGCCTCCGTATTCCCTCGCTGGTGGGGTTCTGCCCCTTCCCCTGGTGGATGCGCCGCTGGACGCGCTCTCCGCTGCGGCCGCCCCTCGCCCTGTATTCATAGCCCCCCATTCTTCTGCACTCCCATTGGCTGGATGAGTGGGTTTCGTGACTTTTTCTAAGTTTTCGGGAGGGGGAGTTCCCACGTCCTCACAGCGGCCTCGCCTCTGTGTGTGCGCGCATCACGACTCTGCATCTCAACGTGGAGGCCAGGTGGCTTGATTTCGGGGCTGGAGGGAGGGTCGTGAGAGGAAGTCAGACCGGACTGTTTATCTCCAGGGAACACGATGAAGCCAGCAAAATCTTCCGACACGCAGTTTTGCCCTTCTAACCTTAATAAATCTTGAAAGGAGACACCACTGCTTCCTCTGAGGCCCCTCCCTGGTGGAACAGCCAGCAAAACAGGGACATATCCCCCACCCACAGTGTTCTGCTCCTAAGCCTTCTCCTTCGGAGGGCTAGGGCTGTTTCAGTGCCCAGGGAACAAAATCCAGATACCTCTGGATGCGGCCTTGTTAATTGGATCACACGCTCCAAGAGGGGTCCCGTCCCTTTAGCCTCCAGAGCAAAGGGAAGATTTCAAGACCCATTTTCTCCCCTGGGAGCTGTAGAAGAGAAACCATATCTGATAGAAGTTTCCCTTGCAAGCAGATCTTCAAAGGAGAGAAATTTAAACTGGCAACACTCCCTGTTGTACCCATGCAAGATTTTGAATTCACTTGGAGTCCCTCTCTGGATCTTGACCATGTTATCTTATTTTAGCATTTTCATATGTACTGCATTTTCCAGCAAAAGTGATGCACAAAGGATGTCAATGCATAAAAATGTCATTTAGGTCACTAGGTGCATGTTTAAACCAAAACAAAAAGTGCTACAACTGCTGAAATTGAAGTCTAAACAAGGATATAATTGTGCATTTAACTGATTCATTTTAAAATGTGTAAATATCCCACTTTTTGTGCTCAGGCCTTGGAACACTTCATGCTTCCAACTTCCGACTGAGCAGGAAGAAGTTCCATACAGGCAACACAATCTGCTTTTGGTTTCTTCTGAAGGAGAGCGAGTGCTGGAGAATTCCTTGCTTTTTTAATGTTTGGATTACTTATAAACAACCAAGCAGAGCAAACATGGAAGCCAGCAGTGTAAGCACTCCTGGCTCGCAGGCTGGACACCCAAGAAGAGCCCCCAGAAGGAGGGCATGCATGGCACGAAAGGAAGGCAGCACTGTGTTTTGAGTGTCCATGTGTTCATGGAAGACAGGTGGATGGGTGTTTAGAAACAATTATGAGCTAAGCAGCAATATAGTCCATCACACAGCAGTGCGTGTGTGTGTGTGTGTGTGTTTTCCAATTTATATCCTGCCTTTTTCCTACAAAGGGCTCAAGGCAGCTTACATCATTCTCCTCCTCCATCTTATCCCCACGACAACCACCCTGTGAGGTAGGTTGGGCTGAGAGTCTGTGACTGGCCCAAAGTCACCCAGCTGGCTCCATGGCTGAGCGGGGACTAGAACCCAGATCGTCTGAGTCCCAGTCCCATGCTCTTAACCACTACACCACACTGGCTCTCCAGTGTTTGTGCCGTCCATTCTCCTGGTGCTAACTGGGAGTGGTTCTTTCCCTCTAAACTGGAATTGGCCAGGGCCGCTCTCTAAAAGGGGGACACATGGCCACCCCTTGAATCCGAACTCCAGAAAGAGACATCCATAAATCAGTTCCCTCTCTGCTCCTCTTTCGCTCTGTCCCCAAACCACTCTCCCCATCACCCCCGTACTTGCACTCCTGCCAGCTTTTGGTGGGGCACAGCCAGGTGGGCTTTCAGGGACCGCACTCCAGGGGTGGGCAAGGCTTGACCCAAGCAGGGTGGGGCTAAGGTCGAAGGGGTGGGGCCAGGAATACCCATATAT